TGTTTTTAATGTAAACTTGTGTGTGAATGAGAACTTAGTTTAGTACTCACATGCTGTGACAGCCGCTTTCTGTGCGTGTGCTTCGGATGTGTGCTTTCAGAAAACCGTATATCAGAAGTTAAAACTAACATGGTTTAAAACAGCGCGATAAACATGATAATCAGAACCAAAACAGATGTGTTTTTAGCAGATACGAGCTGTAATGGCGCAGCTCTATTCTTGAAAAGGGGGCGGGGAGCAGCAGCTTCTCTCAAAATAGGCATTTTCAAAATTATATAATAAATTAACTGTGGAGGATTTTGAGCTGAAACCTCAGACACATTCTGGGGACACCAGTGACTTATATTACATATTGTAAAAAGGGGCATAATATGTCTCCTTTAAGAAATCTTAACCAAATAAAGAGCCAGTTGCTTGGTGATTTGTTCCTCTTCCTCAGTCGCACCAGTAAGGCGTTTAGTAACAAGCAGACGGTGAAGCAGTGCGGCTGCTCTGAAGTGTATCTGGACTGCCTGCAGACCTTCCTTCCGGCGCTCAGCTGTCCTGTCCAGAGAGGGCCTCTGCGCAGCGCCGTGCGCTCCTTCCTCCACCGCATGATCATCTGTCTGGAGGAAGAGGTGCTGCCCTTCATTCCAGCTGCGTCGCAGCACATGCTGAAGGACTGCGAGCCCAGAGACCTGCAGGAGTTCATCCCGCTCATCAGTCAGATCACTGCCAAGTTTAAGGTTAGCAGAGGGCTGCACAATTAATCTGAATTTTTCAATTCAAGTTTATTTGTATATCGCTTTTCACGATACAAATCGTTGCAAAGCAACTTTACAGCAAATTAGGTTTCTACAATATTTAGTAGTAGCTTATCAGTGGTGACTCTGTTAATAAACGTATGGCAGAAATGTACGGAAAAATCTATTAAAGACGTAATCAAACAGATGATGAACACTATTAACAGCAATTATCATATGATGCAATCAAACTTATAGCAAAATGTGCTAGTTCTGTAAGTTGTTTCAGGGTTGGCATCATCTGAGGTCCTCTGAGGGGTTGGCATCATCTCTTCTCAGGTGTTCTGGATCCAGACTGATAGCAATGAGAATACAGCCTTGGTCTGACGCAAGAAGCAAGTCATTTGTAATTTTAACAAGTGCAGTTTCTGTGCTATGGTGGGGCCTAAAACCTGACTGAAATTCATTCATAAAATGTATTATTATTTTTATTATTGTTAATTTATATCCATATTGATACATAGTCACAAATTGTACAGCCCTACAAACAAGTACAGCAAACCTAGATTTCATAATTTTTATCAGAAAAATCTATAGTGTCGAACGCAGCACTAAGATCAAGTAAAACTAGCAATGAGAATGCAGCCTTGGTCTGATGCAAGAAGCAAGTCATTTGTAATTTTAACAAGTGCAGTTTCTGTGCTATGGTGGGGCCTAAAACCTGACTGAAATTCATTCATAAAATGTATTATTATTTTTATTATTGTTAATTTATATCCATATTGATACATAGTCACAAATTGTACAGCCCTACAAACAAGTACAGCAAACCTAGATTTCATAATTTTTATCAGAAAAATCAAAAAAAAAAAAAATTCCCAAATTGCACAGCCTATGTTAGTGCTACAGGAGGGTTTGCATTTACACATTTAGCAGTGACATATAATACATTCATATTAATGAAATATAATTCATGTATTGATAGTAGAAAGACTCATAATAATAATAATTCCTATGGACTCTCTCTTTCTCTCCCAGAACCAGGTGTCTCCTTTCCTCCAGGAGATCTTCATGCCTCTAGTGATGGCCATATTCGAGGTGTTGTCTCGTCCAGCAGAGGAGAACGACCAGACGGCTGCGTTAGAGAAGCAGATGTTGAGAAGAAGCTACTTCAGTTTCATTCAGACCATCGCCAGCAGCGGCATGAACGAGGTCATGGCCAGTCAGGGTGAGGCGCTGTCCTGTTCAGAAAGAAAGCACACCTTTGTGTCTGAAAATGTGAACTGACTTAATCTTGCTGTTTGGCAGAAGCTGAAAATATCGAGCGTGTGCTGTTCACCATCATCCAGGGAGCCGTGGATTTCCCAGACCCTGTCGCCCAGAAAACCTGCTTCATTATCCTGTCCAGACTGGTGGAACTATGGGGTACGAAAACACTTCAAGCACAGCAGATTCTGCAGCATATAGACATTTAATATGGGTTATTATCATTAACTAAAACTATTTACAAATATTTCTGTTAATTGAAATAAAGCTGAAATTAAATGCAATATAATTTTAAGTAGGGCTGCACGATTACGACTAAAATCATAATTGGCGATTATTCCTTTGAAATTGTAATTGCGATTATTAATTACGATTAAATGAATGATGTTTACACCTTTGTTTGAAGCAACTGCATGCCATATTTTTATATGAAAATAAACAAGCTGAAAACTAACTAAAAAATGTTAGCCTCAAATGTCAACTATACATCGGATTGGTTTCTTCTTTAAATAAAAAGGTAAAAATATGCATGGTATTATAATGTTATACTAAAACTAAAATTAAAACAATGGAAAAATCCTTAAGATAACATGTAGAAAGAAAAAAAGCATATTAAGCGTGCAGAATAACATAAGTGGACTTTGAACGATTGATTGCTGCTTTGAACGATTATGTAATTGTGGCATCCTTAATTGTAATCGCGATTAGAAATTCGATTAATTGTGCAGCCCTAATTTTAAGTGAAAAATTACTAACTGGAAATAAAAATCACAAATTAAACAAATAGTTAAAACTAAAATTAAAATAAAAGCTAATTCAAAATATGAATAATAACTATAATAGTATATAAATAATACTAAAGTAACACTGCTTTTAACATGTTATGCTTCTGGACTTTTAATAAGGGTTGTTATTAAAGCTATTAAAATATTTTTGTTAATTGAAATAAAGCTGAAAAAACAAAATATAAATATTAGATAAAAAGTTAAACTAAACTGGCAACTAACTGAAATTAAGTTGAAGTAAAATCACTAACCGGATATAAAACTTAATTTTAAATTAAACATAAATAATAATCTAAAAACAAAAGCACAATTATTAAAAATGTAATTGAAAATGGAAAAGTAAAATAAATAAAAAGCTAATTCAAAATGTTAATAAAAACAATAATAATATATAAATAATAATAAATTAACATGTTATGCTTCAGGCAGAATCTAGACTTTTATTATGGGTTGTAATTAAATAAAACTATTATAAATATTTTTGTTAATTGAAATAAAGTTGAAATACAATACAATATAAATATTAGGTGAAAACCTAAACTAAACAAATTAGAATAGTTGCTTTCGCAACTAACTGAAATTTAAATTGAAGTAAAATTACTAACTGGGAAAAAAAAAAAAAAAAGCCAGTTCAAAATATTAATACAAACTACAATAGTATAAAAATAAAAGTAAAATAACACTGCTTTTAACATGTTCTCTTTCTCAGGTGGAAAAGATGGTTTGGTGGGATTTCCAGATTTCATCTATAAGCATATCGTCCCAGCATGCTTCATGGCCCCTCTTAAACCAACCTTTGACCTTTCAGATGCCCAGACTGTTTTGGTACGTCAGTCAAGTCTTTTATAGACCGCTTCTATTTATTAAATGTCTGATGGTGATTTGTAATGTTTTGCTGTTCTGTTACAGACACTGTCCGAGTGCACGCTGACTCTGCACATGATTCATCTCAAAAGAGTGAGTCTGAAATCACCTCAACTGTGATTACTCTTATTTAGACCCGAAACCAGTTACATTCACCTTAGGGATGAGGAATAGTCAATGAATCTAACTGCAGGCTGTTTTAATGCTGTTTGCACAGGGGCTGGAGTGTATTCAGTTTCTTCAGGAGTATCTGCCTTCTCTGCAGGTCTCACCTGAAATCACGCAGGTAACGGACACACACCTGCTTCCATCAGGATCAGTGACATGCTTCAAGCATTTCATTTGATTACAAACTATTGTCAGACACAAACTCAAAGGTCTTCACTACAACCTGTCAAAATAAAAGTTCTGTTTAACTTCAGGAAATTGTGACATGTTATTAATGTAAAGTAGAATGTTCTTGTCAAAGTAATCATAATGATAATAGAGTTAGCTTTATTTTTAAGGAATATCACAATTTTACTTGTATTTTAATTTTAACAGTAAACCTGTTGTGCAGCACTTTGTTTGCCAAAAAATAAAAGGAATTCTATTTTAATTTGATCATTAAAAAGATTAAATTATGCCTTCATTTGATTGCCACTTTTTGATAATACATTTTTATTAAAGCGCATCAAAAAAAGAAAGAAAAAAATTTAAAACACAACACAGAATTTCTGAAATCAAATAAAGTAAAAGATTTCATAGGACCCTATTATTGATAAAATTCCATTAATTCAGTTGATTAGACATGGCTTTGATTAATACAATTTAATTAAACCATCAAAACGGTATACAGAAAAATTTAAACTAAAAACAGGATTTAGGAAAAAATAAAACTGATTTCCTATGGCCCTAAAAAATTACATTTTTGCTAAAAGTTTAATATTTTTGATTATGAACGTTTAATTTATCCATTAAAAAGGAATCCGGAACAATAAAAAAAAGGGGGGGGTGAATTTTTGATTACAAAAATGTAATTTATCCAATAAACGGAAATATAGTCAAATTAAAATGAAAAATCGAAAATTTGGGGAAAATAAAAATTTTATAGGACCCTATATAGGCCATTTTTTGCACCTACTCCTTAAGAGTGTGAAAAAGACAATTTAATAGCTTTACACATTTAAACATAATTTCAACTACGTTTTAACAATCTTTGCTACTGTCACAAGTTATGGCAACAATATGTACTTGATCATATTAGTCCTACAAGCTAAATCTTCTAGATAGAAGCTGTGGAAGTACAGACGCATCCAGACTGCAGTATTGTATGATGATGGCCATTTTTATTTTATTTATTTTTTTAGTTATTCTGATTGATATCAACTGCGTTTCTCCTCAGGAGCTGTGTCAAGTGCTTCAGCAGCCGGATGTTAAGGTTCTGAAAAACTACATGAAGGTATTTCAGGAGCTTTATGATTGAAACGCTAATTCATGTTGTCTTCATATATCAATGAGTGTTAAATTTTTAGCGCTCATTTTAACTTTAACTCAAGTTTCCCCCTGTGCATGCAGGTTTTCTTCCAGCAGGCCAAACTTTAAAACTGGAACTGTCAAGCGGAGCGTTTTGGGAGCTCAGCAGTCAACGCCACTTACAGACCACCATAACGACAGAGCTTAGCGTAGGAGCTACTTTTGCACTTAAAGAAGCGTAACCACACCCTTCCTGTCTGCGGGACACGGACCCCCAACAGGAGTCACGTGGTGATTGGCTGTCACGTGACGTGATCAAACCCCCACACCGACCTTGGCCCAATCAGAGTTGTGCTCTCCATGGAGGTTTAGCCACCTGGGCTGGAGGCGACGTCTGCGATTGGACGAGACGCCATACTGTAGGTGGGGTTTGTGAGGGTGGGCGGGGCTTCAGTCCTGAACACAATTTCAAGGGAAAATGCATTTCCATTTGAAATACAACAGTTTTGGTAATTGTTTGGAAGTATGACTTAAATGTTAAAGAAAATTCTGGAATGAATTTAATGAAATGTTTTTTTTTTTTTTGTGCGCGAGCTTAATTAAGAAGGGCCGGTTTAAGAATATTTAATTGCTACTTTTTCTTTTTTTTTTAACATGCATAAATGAAGCATTGGTTTTAGTTTGACGTGATGGGGTTAATAAATGGAAGTGCTCTTGATGTTGGGCTTTTTGGATCTAAAATGTCTTTTTGTTTTACTTTAATTGTTCTTAAACTGCTAAATCATCAGCAATCCCCTCTAGTTTTCCATAGAATACGGCATTCCCATCAAAGCTGTTCTGTAACTCATATTGTTTCCGAACACTAAACGTTTGTCCGCTCCATCACAGTCGTTTAATGCCTTTAAAGCCCACTTGAAATATGCAATGTAATGTTATGAACTGTGAAAATACTACGAGGTGGTCTGATCCTTGGATCTGCAGTGGGAATATTTTGGTTAAGTTACGCTGCTAGCAATTCTTGTTTGGAAATGTACTTTGTGTAAAAAAAAACCTCTGCTTTTGCTTCAGTCTGGTTTGTAGAAATGACCCGTTACGGCTGACAAAATGACAATCTGTGTTGGATTTTTAGAGACGCTGCATGTGTCTTAACCCTTTCAGCCCTGGATTCCACGTCAGCGAAGCGCTCAGCAAAGGTTTGGACCTAAACGTTTCTTGGGTCTCGACATCACATTGGCTTTAATGGTTAAAAATCATGATAGGAAAAAAATGTTAATCCAAAAACTGGACGACGAACTTGTAACTTTGAATATGAGAATGACCGTTAAAGATTGTTTCTTTGTCATTACCCATGAGCCTTTGCTTCAGACTTCCTGTGATTTGCCTAACACAGACCTGTTACTCAGAAATGCTCCAGACCCACTGTGTTTATGCCAAAAAAGAGGAGAGAGAGACGACACGAAAGGTAGACTGTGCAAACTTGTTTTATTTTTGATATGCTGGGAAAGGCGTTCTCACTCCCTTTTGTGGATCTTTTGTCATGACCAATAAAGTATTTACTAATCTCCGCCAGATTTCCAGCTGGAGGTTTATTTGAAGCGGCTGCGTTCACGTAATCATTCGAACAGATTCAGGAGAACAAGGCGCTGATGCAACGGTTTTATTCCACATTAGTAGCTCCGTGTAAACATGTTCACCCTTAAACCCGAAATGAAACAAAAAATGCTGGAGCCACTTCACCTTCATAAGTGCTAAATATTTGAGCTGCAGAGTCTTGCGTGCAGCATCGTGATGTTTCAGCCTTTAATCACAGCGATGGGTCTGAGCTTGATGGCCTTCTTACTGATGCCAGCGTCGTGGCACGTGTTCACTACATCAGTGACGTTCTTGTAGGATTCAGGAGCCTGATGTGCAAGATGCAATGAGTGTTCAAAAAAAGTAACAAATATAACAGCATAACATTTTTTCAGTGCATTTTATTGTGATTTATATATAAAATATTTAAAGATAAAACAATTTTCAGCTTTTTTGGAAACTTAATTGGAATTGTTTAAAATTTAATTTGCAAACAGGTGAACAAGTGGTGAATAATTTGTGACCATTTACATCACGAAGCAACAAAAAAAAGCATAATTATTAAATGCATTTTATTGGAGGATGATTATTTAAAAACAATTAATGTAAAAATAAATATCTAATAAAATAGTAAAAAATAAAAATTGTTTATGCGTTTTTGGATAATTAGAATTGAAAATCAACTATTTAAAACACAAAGCAGTTTAAATAAGTATTCAATGCATTTTATTGTTGGATGATTATTCAAAAAATATTAAAAATAGTTTCTGCTTTTTTTTTGATGCTTAAATTTGAATTTGTTTAAAAGAAAATGAAAAAATTTTGCAGATGAGTGAAACTTCTGGTTTAACAGCTATTCTAATTGACATGATTGAAAAAACTATTTTACATTTTTAAAAAAAAATCATAATACAATATAAATCTACTAAGTGATAGTTTAAAAAAAGATGAATTTGTGACCATTTAGTGGTAATATAATTTAAGTTTTTTTTATTGCAGCATGGTTATTTGAAAAACAAAAATTGTTTCTGTTTTTGGATGCTAAAAAAAATTGGAATTGGTTCTTTAAAAAGGGGGTAAAAAAAAGTTTCCAAATGACCGAATGAAGAGATCTCACCTCCTCCATCACCAGCTTGGGTGACGCCACTCTGATGGCGATGCCCATGTCTGCCAGTTTATCCAGAACGTCCTGGAAGTCCAAGTTGCGTCTGGATTTGGCTCTGGATAGAGCTCGACCCTGCAGCGTTCACAAACACACGTCAGACGGGTGAGCGCGACGACAATCACTGCAGCAGATCTGATCACATGACTCACCGCTCCGTGACACGTGGTGCCAAACGTCTCCGTCATGCCCTGCTCTGTGCCCGTCAGCACGTAACTGCAGGTGCCCATGGTTCCTCCGATCAGAACCGGCTGGCCTGTCAGCTGCAAGAGAAAACAACATGTTTCAGTTTATAGTCATGTGACGTCAACCACAAAGGAAAGTCGTTTTCAAACTCTCAGAGTAACATGCAGCTTGTAACACTCCAAAGAGAAAGGAAAACTTGAAATCGCATCATATGACCCCTTTAATAAATCGATCCAGAAGGAAGAATGGAGTTAGTCACCTGATAGTCGACAGGTATGAGTGGATGGTGAGGCGGGAATGCTCGCGTCGAGCCCTTTCTGTGCAGGAGAAGCGTCTTCTGTTTGCCATCCAGCATGTGCTCTTCCACCTTGGCGATGTTGTGCGAGACGTCGTAGATGACGTGCATGTCCAGATCGTCTGGTGTGGTGTTGAAGACTTTGGAGAAGGCCTGCATTGAAGGTCAGTATGAATGAACACGTTCAGCAGCAGAACTCACATGGGACGTTGTTTGTGTAGAGTGTAAAGTATGCACATGTTCTGTATGCTTAAAACATCTAGGGCTGCTCGATTATAATTATATGCACTGGGTTTTTTTCCCCCCATGCATAATAAGCAGTGTGTACAGCGGGAACAGTTGGGTGTGTGAGCCAGTGTTAATTTCGTTGACATTTTTTTCACTGACGATAATGAACTAAAACTCGTTTTGAATGATAAAAACTATGACGTAAATCTATTGACATTTTCGTCAACAAATAAAAACGAAACGAAAATGTTAGGGAGGGACGATTTGGGATGAGATTCATTCAGAACGAATCTGCTGCGTGGTTACGAGGTTAGAAATTAACTCTGGTGTGAGCTCACCTGTCGAGTGAGGAAGGTCATGGAGGAGCGGTTGACCCAGGCGTAGTTCCCGGCGGCCGCCATGCCCTTCAGATAGTCCTGACCCTCAGGAGACATGATGCGAGCGCAGGCCAGCTGACGGTCGTTCACCATGATCTTATCCCGCTTCATCGCCTTCTCCATCGCAACCAAAGCATCTAAACGCCAGAGTGAGAAACATGAAGCAGGTATGCCTGTCGCAATAATCAATATATCGACTTATCGCGCAATATATGTACATGACCTCAATCATTTTTGGTGAAGCAATATATCGCTCATTATATTTACTAGGACTAAAACTAAATGGCATTTTAGTCAAAAGACTGACTAAAACTAAATCAAAATTTGTTGTCAAAATTAACTCTGGTGTGAGCTCACCTGTCGAGTGAGGAAGGTCATGGAGGAGCGGTTGACCCAGGCGTAGTTCCCGGCGGCCGCCATGCCCTTCAGATAGTCCTGACCCTCAGGAGACATGATGCGAGCGCAGGCCAGCTGACGGTCGTTCACCATGATCTTATCCCGCTTCATCGCCTTCTCCATCGCAACCAAAGCATCTAAACGCCAGAGTGAGAAACATGAAGCAGGTATGCCTGTCGCAATAATCAATATATCGACTTATCGCGCAATATATGTACATGACCTCAATCATTTTTGGTGAAGCAATATATCGCTCATTATATTTACTTAATTTATGTCGCCATGTTTTGTGCATTCCACTTGCGCCCGTGTCTTTTGCAGCTTCTCGTACATAACGTAGTGCAATCATGAGGTTCCAGAGAATATTATTCAGTGAATTATTCTTGACTCTGTAGCTATCAAACAGCTTATAAACCTACTAAAACTGTAGTTTAAAAAGTTGATATGACTCCTGTCCTTTATTTTCTCCATTTGAAAACATTAGACATTTATTTTTCTTATTGTTAATATTAGTGTTGTTGCTGTTGATGCTTTTTATAAATAAAATGTTTTTTTTTTATTATTGTTGTAGTATGAAGATTAATTTTAACATGAATGACTGCTAATTTAACACTTTTTAAAAAAAAATGATGACTTTTGAAAAACCAAAGTGAAGTATGTTCTTACTTCACTCAGTCATTTATTTACTTTATAACACTAAATAAATATCGGTTATGCATATCGGTTATCGGGCACAGAAACATGCAAATAATTGGTATCGGTAATAAAAAAAAAACAATATCGGTCGATCACTAGTTACAGTGGGTACAGAAAGTATTCAGACCCCCTTAAATTTTTCACTCTTTGTTATA